CCCCAAAACCCCAAAACCCCAAAACCCCAAGAGGTCAGGGAGATATTGAATTAGATATTTGGATAGACATTTAATATGGTGATTAGTTCATAGCGCTCGTGTTGATGGAGGTGAGAAGTTTGATTTCTCTCATCCCGCTTAATGAGATATCCTCAGAGATATCTTTTATCAGCATTTCATTGAAATCATCCTGGCCTATCATTAGCTCATTAAAATGCTTTCTATCTTCTATTTCAAGCTCCTGTGGTTCGTCTGAGATTGGCCAGTAGTTCTCATCCTATAAATTATACTTGCTGAGCTCCAACCTTTCCGACAAATCCTTTGATAACTAGGTTGGAACAGCTTGCTTTGTATTTTCCTTTGATTATTGGAATTTTAGACTTTGAATTAGCTGGAATAATAAACCTCACAGTTGTTCCTCTCCTATAAATTTTCTAGCATTCTTACTTAAGGGAAGTAAACTTTATCTTGCCTTGCAGTTGGTTAATGTATTTCTTGGCAATCACAAGCCCAATCTCTCTCTCGTTGATGTCATAAGCTTTGAATACTTCATCTATCTCGAGCATCTCTTGCAACTTTTCCTGGTCTTCCTGGTCTATTCCAGTTCCAGTGTCTGTGATTGTGAATTGTATATAGTTGTGGTCTGTTGCTTGCTTCGCCTTGAACGAAATATGAATGCTGCCTTTATCCATATGTTGAAGACTATTCACAAATAGATTCAGAATTGCTTGCATTATGATATTTCTATCGCTAGTAATCGTCAAATTCTCAAGACATTCCTGCATCTGCATAGTAAACTCCAAGTCCCTTTGCTTGCATTGGTAAGTACAAATGTCATGAACTTGATTTACCAAATCATTAAGGTCAAGATTTCCCATTCATGGATTGAAAGTGTTGGCTTCGATCTTTGGAATATCAACACTATCCTTAGCCAAAGACTCGAGGAGCTGCGAATGACTCCTTACTGCTTTCAACTGCCCAAATATCTCTTTTGAATGATGTCTAAGACTGTCTTTGAAATCTTTATTTGGTTGGTGGCGACTTGCTATAAAATCCACAACTTCTTTCATGTTATGCTCAACAGTTTTTATAGAGCTCATAATAGAGCCAAGAGAAGCTTTAAATTCATTACTAATTCTGTCAAACATGGCTTTCTGGTTTTTAATATTGTTTTGAGCTTGATTGAGCCGTGCAGTGTCAGACCCGCTTATGAACACATCCATGAAACAACATTGTCCTCTCCACTTCACTTCAATACTCTTGATGGTATAAACTTGGTCTTCTTTAAGCTTGTCATGTGCACATGCATTTCCTCTATAAATTCTGACGCTGCTCTGCTCAAAAATATCGAGATTCGTCATCCTCTTGTGCACTTGGTCAAGGTATTCCTTGAGGTCACATTTGACTTTAACTTCCCCATCCGGAGTGGTCTGGTCAAATTCTACACTAATGTTGCTAATTTCAGTCGAACTATTCTTGAAATCAAATATCTTTTCATTGAATTCTTCATTAGTGAAGAAACAATTATCTGCATCGATCTCAGAATCAGCAGGATGAATCATGAAAGCATACGGAAAAGTCTCCAAAATGCTCGTTGCTTCGTTCCTTGTAGCCTTGATTTTCAAGAGAATACCATAGAGCTCTCTCAGCTTCTCGTTCATGATGTAAGAAGTGCCAACATAATAAAAGAAAGCAGGCACCATTGCAATCCAGAAATCTGTAGGGATTTCTCCTCTTTTTTCGACAATTTTTGTCAGATAGTACAAAAACCCAAGCATCCAAGCTACGAGATTTGATTGCCATGCACTAGGAACCAGAACCAGGATAAGATGACAGTAGCCTATACAAAAATAAATAGGATACGCTTTCTTGTTCACTGGTGGTACTTAAAAATTCAGCTCTATCTCTCAAAAGTAGAAAAAGTTCTAATACTTACCAATAGTAGGGAGTGCATATTCATGCATCAAATACCTATCTGAGCTCTTATAGATATCTGAAACACATATAAATCCATAAATTAGGATTGCTGGGCAGATGACTCCATGGTAGGATGGAAAATACTCCAAAATAATATAAAACATCGCCATGATCAGTCCTGAAAACAATCAGCGGTTCCGTCCTATTTCTGTGCTAGGGTCATCCTCCATGTAGAAATGAATACCAATTCCAACACCAACAATCACCACAGAAAAGACTACGATGAAGAACTTGATTTTCTGAAAGAAGCTATTTTTGAACGACTTTAGGTGCATGTCTTCCATAAAATTTTCAATATTCTTGATGTGATCTAGAGCCAAATCATTACTAGATGAATCTCTTAAAGTATGAAACTCATTGTAACCAGAGTTTAGCACTCAGAGCGATTCCACTCTGTAAATTTCAGATTTTGGAATTTCAAAATGAGATTCCTTTATAAATGATGAGCTATTCTCAACTTTCATGATTGTATTAGTGTATGAATAAAAATGCTTCAGGTCGATGGTTCAGACCAAAATAGTTATCGCTGGGGGTTTTAGATCTTGTTTGTACTACTTTTAGCTGAATGCTATTTAGTTTCTAATTTTATCATTCAAAAATCGGTTCAAAACTCTTGCTGGTGAGTAATTTAGCATAAATTTTATAAAGCTTAACAACCTAGTCCAAAAACAGGGCTAATTTCAAGTTCTCTTTTACCACTATTTCAGGTAATTTGAGAGACATTGCTTACCTTTCTCCTCCAGAATTCTCTTAACCGAAGACTTTGGCCTGGGCTATACCAAAATTTCCCCTCCACCCATCAACCCACCCCAGTCCCCACTCACCTTAAAACAATCCCTCAGCCTGCCAAACTCAGGGCCAGTCAAAATCCTGGCTTTCTGCCCACTTATTCCTTCAACGCCCGAGTGCTTACACTCCTCCATTACTTATTCCCTTAAATTATTCCAATTTATTCCTAACAATTTGGGGTTTTGGGGTTTTGGGGTTTTGGGGTTTTGGGGTTTTGGGG